TAAGGAGAAGAAATTACATGTGTCAAATAGAAAACCAACAGAAATGAGGAAAACTTAGAAAAAAGATCAGTTAAGGCAATATCTATAGACAACAAAAAGAGCAAAATACAAGAAAAAATACAATGGGAAAGTGAAGGAAAAATTAACATAAACTAATGAGATTAATAGAAATGAAAGTAAAATTTTGAGTAAGACCAGAAGATAAAAAAACATATTTTTTTGGTCGTCTGAAAATGGGTGGTGGGAAAAAAAAAAAACCATATTTTTAACAAAAATTTCCTAACAAGAAAATTAAAATTACTGTGAGATGGTGATATTTAATACTCAAATAGCTATCCAAATAAAATATTCTATTATACAGTAAGCACCAAAGAAAAATCATAGTATAGACTGCTAGGGCTTTGGAGCAAATCCATGTCCTCTGCTATCTCCTTTTGAGAAACAGCACCTATATTGCTTCTTAGCTATGGGTAGAATATGGACATCAAGTGACCATACTAACTGAGCCTCCCTTTACAAAATGGGTGCTGTCTGGATGACAAAGCTGTAAGGTTGGGTATGCATGGCAGCAATCTATCAAATGGAAATGGTTATATAAGATATTGGACTTAGAAAAGGAAGGTAAGTACTTTCATGAAGAGTCCTTCAACAGTGACTGTTCCTCTCCCTCAACTCACATCTACTGCCTTATGTGGAGTTTCTTATAACTAATTGTTTGAGGAGGGAAAAATCCCAGCCCTGGTTTACAAATGTTCCACATGATATGCTGGTACCAACCAGAGGTGGATGGTTATATTATTATAGTTCCATTGAGATGCGGCCTTGACGGGGACTAGTAGAGGGAAATTCTCCTGATGAGCATAACTTAGAGCAACACATTTGCTTGTCCACCTTGTCTGGACCGAAACACGGTCAGAAGTACAGATCTGCACTGACTCATGGGCAGTTGCTAATGTTTGGGCTGGATGGTCAGGACAAGATTGGAAGATTGATACAAGGAGGTTTCAGGAAGAGGTATGTGGATGGACCTTTCAGAACAGGCACACAGCGTGCATATATGTGTGTCCCATGCACAAAGGGTGTCATCTGAGCAGGAGACTTTTAATAATCAGGTGAACAAAGCAACTCATTCTCTTTATGTCAGTCAGCCACTCCCCCCAGCCACGTTAATGAGTTCTCAATGGACCCCTGTGCAAAGTGATCACGTTGATCAGAGTAGAGGCTCTGTGTGGGCTCCGCAATAGGATCTTCTCACCAAGGCTGACCTTGTAGCCTTGCTACATTGCTATTGCAATGTAGCCTAACTAGCCAGCAGCACAAATCAACACTGGGTCTCTTAGCACCCTTCCTTGGAGAGACAAGCCAGCCATCTGGTGATTGATTATACTGGACCATTTCCCTCCTGGAAGGGGACAGAGATCTTTTCACTGAAATGGACATATTATTCTGGATATGGATTTCCTTTTCCTGCCTAGAATGCCAGGACCACTAGCCATGGACTTATAAAGTGCCTTATTCATTTTCATTTTATTCCACGCATTGCTTGTGATTAATAAACTCATTTCACTGCAAAAGAAATGCAACAATGGGATTATGTCCACGAAATACATTTTCTCACCGAGAAGCATATATTTTGTCACCCAGAAGTATCTGGCCTAATAGAACACTGGAATAGCTTACCGAAGACTAGGTGGTTTGGAGACAACATCCTGAAGAATGGGATGCTATCTTACAACACGCAGTGTATATCAGAGGCCAATATGTAGTGCTGTCTTTCCCATAGCCAGAATAAATACAGGAATGAAGACATGGAATTGGGAGTGACTCTTTTCACTATTATACCTACTTGCAGAAATTTTGCTTTCTGTCCCCGTAACATGGAACTCTACTGATCTGAAAGGCTTAATTCCCAGAGCAGGAATGCTTCTGTGAGGGGCCACAACAATGGTTCTGTTGAACTGGAAGATGAAACTACCACTTGGACATTTAGTGCTCCTTATGCCTCTGAACCAACAGGCAAATAAGGGAATAGCTTTATTCAATGAGGAGGTTGAGCTGGATTACAAAGGTAAAATTGAGTTACTGATATACTGCAAAGGTAAAAACGACTATGCCTTCAGTCCAGGGTTCCTGAGATCACCTCTTAGTACTTCAGTGTCCAATGGTAAAAGTTAATGGAAATGTCAGCAGCCAAATCAAGTCAGGACCATTTAGGATACAGACTCTTCAAGAATAAAGGCTTGGGTCACCTCACCAGGTACAGAACTAAGCCTAACCAAGGGCTTGACTGAAGGGAAAGGAAACATGGTATGGTGAGTGGGGAAAAAGTTATAAACGACAACTATGGTGCCATGACCAGTTATAGAAAGGAGGACTGTAGCAGATACACATATTTTCTTCATTGCTTGTTATGTATGCATATATACATATGTGAATTTGTAAGTATGAACTATTTTCTTCTTCTTCTTTTTCCTTTTATTCCTTAATACAAACCTTTTTGTAGGTTAACTTTAAAACTTAGTCTTTAGGTAACAGAAAATCAGATAAGACTGTGCCTGAATTTAAGGAGTAATTACAATAGTGTAGAGATGGGTGGTGTGATTGCCTCCCACACATGGATATAACAACTTGGGCATAATGTCTCCTCATTTTGGAGGTAGAGAAGAATGTCTTTGTACACAGGATGGTTGCATACAGGGGGAAAGGTAGAGATGTCTTGTTATACTGCAAAGGTAAAAATGACTATGCCTTCAGTCCAGGGTATTCTTGAGAGCACCTCTTACTACATCAGTGTCCAATAGTAAAAGTTAATGGAAATGTCAAATACGTGTAGAAGTTCAAATACATGTAGAAAGGTTTGTGTGGATGCATAGTGGTTAAAGAGGTTATTGTCACTCAGCCCTAACCCCACTCTGCACTCAGCTTTGTGATGTGAAGCTGGTACTCGCTATACTCTGGGACCCCATTTTGGCTTTGTTAGCTTGCTCCACCTGGCTCTGCAAGTAGGGGGTGCCAGAAGTAGACTGCAAAGCTGGAGAAAGAAGGGACTTGGCTTTTCTTTTGTCTGCTTCTTATTGGCTTCCAGTCCTTTTTCTGCTCCTCAGAGCATCACCCCAGCAGCAGCAGCCGTTCCTTTCTTTGCAGAAATTGAATCCAGTTTGCAGTTTTTCCAGCATTTGCAGAATCAGCTTCACAGGACTCCCTCAAAGACACCAGCAATGTCTCCAATTCCCTATTCAAGGCTGTCCCTCATTAATGAATCTTATGTCCCCATCATACTCCTTCCTGGATTTGGGGAAAGGGGATGAGAGCCAATGTGTAGAAACAGGAGGCTACTTTGAAGCCAGTGCTGGGCTGGTTTGGAGTAAAGAGAAAATGCCGGAGGAATGGAGCCATGGTCAGTAGTGCCATTAGTTAAAGCATCACCTTAACTAATGGGATGAAATAGAGAACAATATATTAGAGAGGGGTAGGATATAGGGAGAGAGAGTTGAAGATCAAAGAGGGAACAAAAGGCTAAAAGCAAACTGTAGAAAAAGGGTCATACTGTGCTGAAATAAAATTGAGAGACTGACAAGCCACCATGGATATTTTGGTGTGTTTCCTTATGATCTTTTTTCTATGCTTTTTATATATTTATCCAATTTTAGATTCTACATTTTTCACTTAACATTACAACATAAGCATTTCCTCTTATTACACATTATTCATCAACATTGTTTTTAATGACTGCTTAAAATCTAGTTCTTTGGTTAGATCATAATTTCTTTAACTATTTCTCTTCTAATGGGCATGTAGGTTATTTTCAATGTTTATTAAATTAACTGAAATGGCTATCTCCATGGAAGAGCTTTTTATGCATTGTATCCCTAGGATATATTCCACAAAGTAGAATTACCGTGTCAAAGAATGTGGACATTTTTAATCTTAATCTTTTAAATCTTAATTGTTACTCAAATTCTTATAGATCCACAATCTTTTGTCCACAATCCTGCAATCCAAAAAGCACTGAAAATTGAACGCATTTTTATATTTGACCTAATCTGTAATCATTTAGTGTAATACCTGAGTAGAACTGATGTGAGATGATTTATAGACTTTTAACTTTCCCACTTAGTGTGAATATTTATGTTTTTTAGAAATAGTAACATACTGATTATGAGACAGTATCTCAGAACTCAGAGTGTTAGATAATTATGTAATATTTATGCCATACAGCTTTTGTTGTTTTCAGAGATGGCCTGTTCTCTCACCCAGGCTAGAGTGCAGTGGGCATGATCATAGCTCATTGTAACCGTGAACTCCTGGGCTTAAGCAATCCTCCCACATCAGCCTCCTGAGTAGCTGGGACTACAGGTGTGCATCACCACACCTGACTAATTTTGAAAAAATGTTTTTTTAGAGATGGGGTCTTGCTATGTTGCTCAGGCTGGTTGTAAACTTTTGACCTCAAGTGATTCTCTAGATGTACAGCCTTTTGAAAAATCTCTGAATGCCTTTTTTTTTCCTAGAGTAAGGATCTCACTCTGTCACCCAAGGTGGAGTACAGTGGCATCATCACAGCTCACTGTAATCTCAAACTTTTAGGCTGAAGTGATCCTCCCACCTCAGCCTCCTGAGTAGCCAGGACTACAGGAACATGCCACCATGCCTGGCTAATTTTTAAAATTTTTTTTTAGAGATGGGGCCTTGCTGTGCTGTCCAGGCTACACTAAAACTCTTGGCCTCCTCCCACCCCAGCTTCCCAAAGTGCTGGGATTACAGGTGTGATCCACTGCGCCAGCCTCCCAAATGTCTTCTTACAAAATATATCCAGCCTTAAGGGTTTCAGATGAGGATTGTGAACCTGTACTAATAGCCAAGGCCCCAAGCCTCTCCAGAGAAAGTCCTCACCCTTGAAGCGCCCTCTGGGGGGCAGAGCAGAGCCAGAGACAGCCCCACACCCAGCCTTCCTCTGGGGAAGAGGGCACAGTCACAGTGGTCCAAGGGCCAGAAAGGTTGGAGGGGGCAGGGGCCGAGGGTCACAGGAAGTAGGCAGCCACAGGCTTCTTGGAGGGGATGCCCCGGGTCTCTTGGGGAGCGGCCTCGAAGATGATGAAATCTTTCTGGAGATGCTCGTCCAGCTCCAAGATGGCTGCCACGTTCCCACAGCTGTAGCAGTAGTTGGGTGCTGACCACACAGCGAGCACGGTCTCATTGAAGTGCCACTTGTAACCTTCCATCATTAGTCGGTGGGCCCAGCAGATCATGTCAGTGTCATTGGCTGCATTGAACTGGGCCACCATGTCACTGCCAAATAGGTAGCCGGCCCCACGTGGGCTCACACCCCAGCCTGTTGTGTCTCCAGGGTCGGACCAGAGGAGTTGCACATGGGCCCGTCATGAGGCACCTCTTGCTTTCGGTCAATCGTCCGGATCTGGTCCAGGGTGTGGATAGAGGGGATAGGCCCCCATGCACACAGATCTTGCCATCCATGATGGCTGACAGGCTGAGGCAGTCAAAGATCTTGGTGCAGTAGCGCCACACAGTCACCGAGCTGTATTTGCGCAGGCACTTGTCATAGAAGCCGTAGACCTGGGTGATCTGGCGGCTCTCGTGGTTGTCACAGATCAGGGTGATGCGGTCAGGACAGCGAAACTTAAGTGCCAGCAGCAGGAGGAACGTTTCGCGCTATAGAAGCCACGGTCCACAAAGTCCCCCATGAAGAGGTAGTTGGTCTCAGGGACGTCACCACCCACTCTGAACAGCTCCTTGAGGTCATAGAATTGTCCATGTATGTCACCACATACTGTGACTGGCGAGTCCACCCTCTGCACGTTGCTCTCCTCTACCAAGATCTCTCTGGCCTTAGCACACAGGGCCTTGACTTCTCCTTAATGAGCTCGCAGCGCGGCAGCTGTTCGATCTGCCGGTCCAGGTAGCTGATCTCCACCGTGGCCCACCCCCGGCGCGGGTCAGAGTTGGGGCTGCCGCCCCCTCCGCACCGCACAGGGGTCTCCGCCGCTACGACTCCGGCTCCGGCACTCGGAGCACATTACAACAATGCGCTGGATGCCTTAATTAAAAAAAAAATTTGCCAAACTTTACACGATATTATGGGCTGAATTGTGTCTCTCCCTCTTCTCAAATTCGTATGTTGAAGTTCTAACCCCCAGTGTCTCAGAATGTGACTGGGTTTGGAGACAGGGTCTTTAAAGAGGTGACTGAATTAAAATGAGGTCTTTAGGGTAGGCCCTAATCCAGTGGCTAGTATCCTTATAAGGAGAGTAGTTGACACGGACACACAGAGGGAAGACCATGTGAAGACAGAAGGGCCATCCACAGCCAAGGAGAGACCTCAGAAGAAACCAACCCTGCTGATATCTTGATCTCAGACTTCCAGCTTCCAGAACTGTGAGCAAATAAATTTTTGTTGTTTATACCACCCATACTTTGTTACTTTGTTATGGCACCCTAGAAAACCAATACTGCACAAGTAGTCACATACTGTTTTTATAAGCAACAAAATCAGATACCAACCAAGCAAACAAAAACCACACAAATGAACCTTTTAAAATGTGATGCTTTCACGGTTGTAGCTTATTGTTATACTTCATTTTTAGTTCTTTCTCTCAGGGAAGGTTTGTAGCTCAATCCTCCCCTAGTTATCCCATTTTTTCTCAATTTCAGTTGGTAAACAAGATGGCACTTCTCATTTCAGGCATTAGCTCCTATTGCCTAATAATTATATATAATGTTAATATATAGTTTTTAATTGTTATTGTTTACCTAATAAATTCAGGACTAATCAGAGGAAAACGGGGTCTCTGAGATCCCACTGTTAGTCTTCTGATCTAAGACAGGGGCGCTCATTCTTTTTACTCACCTCCACAGAGAACAGATTACTGTTCACCTGTGCATAGGATCATATACACAGTTTCAGTAACTACTCCAGCCTTTCCTATTCTAGAAAGCATATTGGAATGGAAATGGGACCGTATCAATGATCTAGGGATTATAATTTTTAAAAAAGTAAATCATTAGGGCTGGGCACGGTGGCTCACACCTATAATCCAGCACTCTAGGAGGCTGAGGTGGGAGGATCGCATGAGCTCAGGAGTTCGAGACCAGCATGAGCAAGAACGATAGCCCGGCTCTACTAAAAATGGAAAAATTAGCCAGGCGCAGTGACGTGAACCTGTAGTCCTACCTACTTGGGAGGATGAGGCAGGAGGATCGCTTGAGCCTAGAGGCGTTGTGGTTGCAGTGAGTTATGATGATGCCACTACACTCTAGCCAGGGCGACAGAGTAAGACTCTGTCTCAAAAAAAAGAAAAAAAAATTAAAAAACAGTAAATTAGAAAATTTCAGCACTTTATTGTTAAATTGTTCAAACTATTGTTAAGTGCTTGTGTCACTTTACAAGTGATCCTAATGAACTACATGTCTAAAGTACTGAACTCATTTAATATATTGAAAAGACATCTGAATCGGTAAGAACCTGGGCCACTCTAGTGATAAAGATCTTTCTATTCTCCATCAGCCACTCTTCCAGATAGTAGAGAAATACTTTTAGGAAAAGGTGTGACCTTTTGAGGTGAAATAGGAGGAATAGCTCCTGCATTAATGTCACCATGTAAGCCTAGCATAGGCAGAAAATTTTTTAAGAGGAACACCAATAAATGGGAGGCAGCTGGTATAGTGCAAACGCATGTGCTTCTGCGCTCTACAAAAATTGGATTCCTGGTTCTTCTACAAGGACTTGCAGAATTGTAAAGTTCATTTTGAAGGGTTGCTATAAATTTCAGCATTTATTGACCATCCATTGCACGCAATTTGCTTAAAAGGTTGTAAATCTCTATTAAAAAAAACCTTATTCAAGAATTGTGACACAAGTGAATGTATTAATTCTCAGAATATTTATCGAGTGCCTACTATGTGCCGTACTGTTCTAGAGGCTGGAGATGCTACAATGAAAACACTAAATAAAAGTTCTTGCCCTTCTTGAGTTTATGATTCAGAAGTGGAGCTTACTTTCTAGTGATGGAGATTATACTCTAGTAAAATAGTGATTTGCAGTATTAGGGATTTTTAGAGTGCTTGATTTAGTTTCGATTTAAAAATACATTGTTGCCATCACTTTTCTTGTCAGTCTCCTTGAAGTTCCATCCAGTTGAGGAATTTAAAAAGGTCATAATGCTTTAGACTTGGATAAAGCTGTGATAACAGTTTTAACTCATTTATTTTACATATGAAAAAAAATGAAGTGACTCAACTAAGTTTACCCATTGCATTACTGAGAGATTGAATACTAGATCTTAGATCTCAGATTTCATTCTCTTGTATACTCTCCTCAGTCATATTCCTCATGGTTTCTGAATCCAGATCTGAGTCATGAGAAGCGATATTTGCAAAAAGTGCTGATGGTGAAGAGTTCACACAATGTTATAAATTGGAGTGATTTGGTTAATCAGAAAGCATGGCTTGGTGAAAGACTAGTAGGATACCTGAGCTTTAATCCTGGCTTGTTCATTAAAGAGAAACCATTTAACCTGAGCCCTAAATTCATTGTCTTTAAAATGAAGAGATAGGCCAGGGCACTGGTGGCTCATGCCTGTAATCCTAGCACTCTGGCAGACCAAGGTGGGAGGACTGCTTGAGCTCAGGCGTTGGAGACCAGTCTGAGCAAGAGAAACCCAAAAATTAGCCAGGTGTGGTGGTGTGTGTCTATAGTCCCAGCTACTCAGGAGGCTGAAGCAGGAGGATCACTTGAGCCCAGGAGTTTGAGGTTGCTGTGAGCTAGGCTACTGCCATGAAACTCTAGGCTAAGCAAAAGAGTGAGACTCTGTCTCAAAAAAAAAAGGGATAGACTATGGATTTACTTATGATTTTTCTACTTTATAATGGGTTTATCAAAGTATTAAATGCATTATCGACCTATGATATTTTCAACTTAGAATGAGTTTATCAGGACATAAATTGATGAGCACCTGCGTTTGCACAGCACTTTGAGTCATTTGAAATGTGCATTTGTGTAAAAAGATTTATTAAAAATGCCTGACACACAGTGCTCAAGAAATGTTATTCTAATCACATAACCACCTCATGTATTAATATTAATAAATGCCATTTTGCAGATGAAGTTGAGAATTACAGAAATTACGCAAAATTTCCTTAAGTCTACCAGTTAAAGAAAAAGGGAAGCAGGTTGAAAACCATGGACTTTGGACTGTACTATTTCCTTTGTAGTTTAGCTATAAAATTATTTTACAGGAATTCGGACTTGATGTAAACCCAGAAAGATGGGCAGAAACAGGACAGTTAGAGACAAGAGGGAAATATTTGATAATGAAATATTCCCTTTGTAGCAAAGCAGCTGCTATTAGGGAAAAAGAAATCAAAAATAAAAACAAATAAAAAAAAAGAAAAGAAAGAAGTAATCCCTTAGTATGAAGGAAAAGTTCTGGTAAGGGAATGAATGAGTTTCCTCTACAGTCTTTGTCCTCGTCGTCCTGTTTCCGAGGAGAGGGATGGAAAGGTAGGGAAGATGTGTGACAGGCTTTGAATACCAGGCTAAGGAATCTGAGAGCCCTTAGCAGTTTTTGATCAGAGTGGAGGCATAATGTTAACAACATTTTATTATTAATCTGGTTGTGGATTACTGAATAGATTGGGGAGGTGGGAATGGAGCTTCAGAGGCCAGTTAGATGGCTGTTGCTAGAGCATGGGGGCCTCCAGTATGTCGAGGTAAAGAAACCTGAGGGGAAGGTGGTGTTTTCTTAGTTAACAGACAGCGTTTAAGGTACATGCAAACTCCTTCTTTTAAAAGAAGCTACTGCAGAGGCCTGTAAGGCCAAAAGAATGAGTTTGGAATTAAAGCAGGGTTAGACTCCTGGTTTTGTCATTTTAAAATTATGTAACCTAATGGCCTCGGTTTCGTTTCCTCTAAATTAAGGGTGACAATCCTTACTTGGTAGAGCATTTGTGTGCATAAAACCAAACAGTGCTTCAAGGCATCCAACAATGGCGCTCAGTGTTGGTTCCCACCTTCCGCCAGGTATCCTTCGGGCGGGGGCCGGGTAGCCAAGGACCGCTGTGTCCAGGAAAGCGGTTCTACCCAGAGACCCCGCGCGGGCACTCCTGTCCCGAGCTCGGCTGGCCTCCGAACGCCTGCCCCACCTTGGAGCGGACTTCGCACGGGATGACGGAGCATCCGCGCCAGCCAGCAGGACAGACGTTTCCCCCCAACAGCGGCTCCGGGACGCACAGCAGCCCCCACCTGCCCGGGGTGCCGAGGGGAAGCGGAGGAACAGGGCGGAGAGGTGGCGATAACACCCGAGGCCGCAGCGGCCACTCCCGCACCGCCCGCCAGCGAACTCACCGCGGGTGCTGGGCCGCGCTGGCCGCGTTTGAAGTCTCCGGCGCAGCCGCTGGTTGGCGGGCGCGGATCACGTGCGCCCAGGCAGGAGTTTCCCCGACAGCTGGAGGCTGCGTGGGATCCGGCGGCGGCTCCCGAGCGCGGCGGTGCGGCCTTCCCCGCCCCCTCCCACCTCCCCCGCCCGCTTCCGCCCGGCTTATTATCCTCTGTATTGACAAACAGAGCGGCCGCGGCGGAGACTCTCGGCGTGTACTGGTAGCCAAGACATGGGAGACAAGAAGAGCCCCACCAGGTAACAGCGCCCGGGCCCTCGGGCCCGGACTGTGCAGGCGGCAGGGCCCTCACGCCGGGCTTCGGGGCGGCCGTCTCGCTCGCCGCCCGGGCACCGGGGCGAGAACGGGGGCGGCGCCACTGCTGCGCGAGCGCTGCCTCGTGAGGGGCCGGCGCCGGCCGCCCCACAATGGGGCCGCGATGGCGGCGGCGGCCGGAGCGGCAGCCCGGGTGTCAGAGTGGCGGCGGCGACGACTGCAGCCGCACTCGCGCCTTCCTCCTTCCTGACTCCCCTCCCCCTCCGAGCCGGAGCGCGGTGCGCCGGGGGCCAGCGGGGCGGGGGTCGCGGAATGGGGGCGGGGCGGGGGCGGCCTGGAGGCCCCGGCGCAGGGCGCGGCCTGCTGGTGACCCCGCGCCGCGTCGTGTCCGGGTTGTGTCCTGCAGGCCGAAGCGGCAGCCGAAACCGTCCTCGGATGAAGGTTACTGGGACTGTAGCGTCTGCACCTTCCGGAATAGCGCCGAGGCCTTCAAGTGCATGATGTGCGATGTGCGGAAGGGCACCTCCACCCGGTGAGTCCCGGGCCTGCCCCGCGCGCCGCCGGCCTGCAGGGTCGCGGCGCGGAGGACGCCCCTGCGGCTGCCGCCTCCCCCGCCCCCCACGGGACACTCTCAGTCCCGGCTGGAGGAGGCCAGACTGAGGTGGTGGCCGCGATAGGATTTGGGTCACATTGATCGCGACCCAAGCGATGCTTTGTGGTGAGGGGTAATTGAAGAGACTGCATCGTTTTTTGGCTGCCAAGAGAGAATAAATTATTTAAGGGAGGCATTAGCTACTGCGATTTAATTCCTATCGCTGGGTGTAATGCCTTTCTACCCACTCCGGGTATAAAAATGTTGGCTGCACTACTGTGTTAGTGTGAAGGAATCAAGGAAAAACCATGATTTCCTCTTCAGGAGCAAAGGATGTAATTTAATTTCATTTCTCAAAAAAGTATCTGATCTTAGAATACACAATAAATTAAACTTATTTCTGTAGACGGATGTCCGGAAGGGTCAGATCAAGGTTTTGTTTAGTGTTTTTATTTCAGTTCTTTAATATTTTCTAAATAAATAGTTGGAGATGAGCCCAGTCGCAGGAACTTATTTTTACTAAAAGTATCTGAATATTTTAGTTTGATTAAATGGTAATCTATTACATAAATGAGATAAAAGGATTTCTATTTTCAGTCTTAAGTTTATTTTATTGTATACTTACAGTATAATAATTCCGTCTTTTAAAAAACCACTTAAGTGAATTAAGTGGATAAAGAAAATCATCCAGGAAATTCAAAGTCAGTGGCATTCTTGATCTGCCAGCACTTAGTCATAGAACTCCTTCACCTTCGTAGGAAGGTAGCCTTTGAATTAATTCATTATAATCCTGTGATATAATCCTAGATTTATAGCTTAATATTTAGATAAATAATATATTTGGGTATTACAAAGTCCATTAGAAACTAAACTATCACAGTGAGCATACTAATATGTTTTACTGTTGTTTTGAAAAAGAGAGCCTATATAATATTGACATTAAATATTTAGTAGAAGTTAGATTTTTTAAATATGAGGTACTTCATTTTTTTAAACACCATTTACAGACTTAAATTTTTTAGATATAGAGACAGAAATGGTTGGCAATAACTTAAAATTTTAAAGTTTTCTCAGTTAAGTTAGCCACTTTTTGTATGCCTGGTTTTTGTAAGTTATAATATGATTTTTGTATATTAATTCCCATTTACATTGGGTACAATATTTTGAACATTTTTCATGTTCAAAAGCAAACTTTCAAATATAATAACTAAATTTAGGGGAATATAAAAAAAATTCCAGAAACAAAAAAAGCACCTATTTGTTTAAATGATTGTGGTTACTGTTTTTGGACCCGTGATTTAAGTATTTTGAAAAGCAGTATCTTTATGTCTGTGTAAGGTTGGATTTGGTTTACAATATATTTGTATATCTATGTTAGTACTTTGTACTTTTTAAAATGCTCAAAAAACAATTTTTAGAGTATTTGTTTTTTGGAGGCAGGAACATTAAAGTGGAGACAATTATTATAATCTAAATCTCTGGTACTATATTATTGCTTTTTGTTGTTCCCTCTCTATTTTCTTGTAGCCATTAGAAAAATACTGAAACTAGAAGAGCCTGTATGTTTATTTGCAGGGACAGCAAGGAAGGGGGGAAGCTGGTGTCCTACTCCACAGCCAGTCTTGGGGTTAGAGGAACCCTGAGAAATAGAGTAGGTGGTGGCAGCTCAGAAGAGAAGAAACAGGCCGAATACCTGGCACCTGGAAGAAGAAGGAATATAGTGCACAGGGGAATTGGCCCAGGACAGAGAAGTGGGCCTAGTTTAAAAGAGGCTTGAGGCCCACATGGGGGCCCCTGACATTTTTTACCAGTACATCTGAGCTCTTGTAGATCCAATTTTTAGTGGTGGAAACATTACTTGAGGAGGACTCAGAGAAGCATTGTCATTTGGATTGAAACTGAAGAGGCTCTGGGCAACTCACCAGAAATCTAAGGGACACTCTGTTCCTAAAAGTAAGTGTTCTACACTACAACCCTCTCAGCTTCTTCCTTCCTCTCTCTGAATTGTCTCTTTTGATTTTGGCCCCTAAGTTAAACCTAAGAGCTCTAATTTCTCTGTTATCTATTATTTTCCTACTGCTGTTTCTGAAATTCAGAGTGGAATCTATGTTTGGATAGAACAATGGAACAGGGTATCGTTAATAGGGCAGAGATATTGATTGCACCACAAAATATTTCCCTCCCTGATAATGTTAGAAAAACAGGATTAAAGGACTGCACAACGTTGTTGAGAAGAAAAAGTTTGAGTAGTTGGAAGAAATAATTCTCCACAAGTGACATGTTAATTAACAGGATAATTTCAAGAATAAGGTTGGCAAGTACCGAAGTAGGACTGATAGCTGCACAGCAGAAGGATGCTTGCTAATGACTTGTTCGTGTGACCGACAGACAGGATTTGAATCCCTTGGGTCAGACTGACCTTTGAACTGATTCTGTCTCAGTTGCCAAATGTGAGGCCAAGGCTAAGCTATTCTAGACATTTGGAAAAAAGTTCTCTTTTTAAACCTCCAGAGAAGATTTGAGTTCACGGTCTCCCTTTCAAGTCTTTACTGACAATATATATTTTTTTCTTTAAAGAATATCTAGTTTAAATCCTTTATATTGTAACAGAAGACCATTTCCTTTGACTATATCCTTGGTAGGTCATGTTGTTACAGAATGAAGTTACATTCATAGCATGTATTACAAAACGAAACGTTGATTTGATGTAACTTCAGTTCCTCAATTGATATATTCTTTAAATTAATGTCATTTCTATGATTGAATTTCAATTTTGTACTTGCTGGCCTTAATTCATTTAAATTTGATTACTCTCTTTTTAAATCCAGGGTCTGAAGAACTAGATAGTTCAAGTACCTGAAATTTTTTACATTGTGTTTTTTTGAGGGAAACAATGATAAATGTCAAACTGACAGGAAAGATTTTTGTACCTTTTTTTCTGTTTTTTTTTTTTAACTGTCATCTATTTGTCCAGAAGGAAAAATTTTAAAAAGAAAAATAATGCTACAGTGACAAATTATTTTCAAATGTGCTGCACAGCCTCCTTCTTTATATCTAAAGTTCTTATAAGGCAATAAATATCCCAAATATAAGAAACTTCAAGAAACTAGTAAATAAGAACCATTCTGCATCATGGAGAAAATAAAATATTAAGGATAGCCTGTGTGAGGGTGGTGATCAATGTATGATGATTCAGTTAAGGCTAGTTGTATCTATTGCTACGTCTTCACATAGGAATGGAAAATTACTGCTTAATTCAGATGGCAAATATTTAGAAATGAAAATGGTAGAGTTATTTGTTTTGGTCTTAAACTGTGGTCTAAATGAGAACCTATTAAATATTAATAATACCTAGTCCATAGCAAGCTTTTGAGTGTAACAGGTAATATTATATTTTCTCAGAGTATATTACAATAGTTCTTTAGGTTTCTGATAGGTGTTAGAGAGCTGAGAAAAAGAGTTCTCATAGTAGAAAGAGTAGTAGGTGTTGTACTAGGAGTTTGGTAACCTGGGTTCATATCTCATTTCAACCACTTCAACATTTGGCATTCAGCAAATGTTTATTGAGCATCTTATACAAGGGCAGAGGTTAGGGACTGGACATACAATAGGAGCAAAATGGATGTTTCTTTGTTTCTTTAACATTTTACGGTTTTGTTATCAAATCAGAAACACTTAGAACTGTACCAAATTTTGTATGTGAGGTAGTGTTAGTAAATCTTTATGTGTAAGCTGAAGAGGTGAAACTTCTTCATTTAAAAAAAAAAATCTTGTTTATAACTGAACACAGTATTATGGTAAGGATCTGACTTTTGGTAAAAAGAATATAAAATTCACGTTTGAAGAAACCTTAAGGAAACCAACTATTATCTGATGAAAATCTTTTCAGTGTCATTGTTGTCTTTTCATATTGCCTTCTACTAATTTGCGGTTTAGTACCAGTTCTGCTAGATTCTTGGTGTGGGAATGAGAAAAAAATTGAGCACCCTTATAAGTCCATTTTTTAGAAATATATGGTTCCTGCTCCTCCCTTACCTATCTGAGGAGCCTTTCCAGCAACCACTTAGTTGTTGTTCAGAGACTCCTCATTCTAGGAGGTTTCTTGTTTTGTTTTTTGTCCTCCCTTTAACTTAGAGTACACACATGGGGTCATGGTTTACAGGGGAATTTTGAAAGTAATTAGTGCTTAGATAATCTGGATTTCAAAGTGTGGTCTGAGGAACACTGGGGATTCCTGAAACCCTTTCAGTCACTGAGGTCTAAACAATTTTCATAATGATTTGAAGATATTATTTGCCTTTTTCACTGTGATGGCGCAGAAGCAGTGGTGGGTAAAACTGCCAGCACCTTAGCATGAATCAAAGCAGTGACACCAAATTGTAATCTTCATCACTGTGCACATGCAATAAAAATAATGCCAGTTTCATTTAAGAATATCCTTGATGAAGCAGTAAAAGTTATTAATTTTATTAAATCTCATGTCTTTTTTAATATTCTGTGTGGCATAATGGGAACTACACATAGAGCACTTCTGCATACTGAAGTACAGTGGTTGATTCAGAAGAAAGCACTTGAGTAGTTCGACTTGCAAGCAGACCTAGCTGCTTTTTTCACAGAACATCATTTTTATTTGAAAGACTACCTGACAGACTTGTTATTCAGATTTGGATATTTAGCATGTACTTTCTTGAAAGCAAATACAATAAATCTGTCACTTCAAGGAAAATAATTGGTAATATTTGTTGCCGGTGTTAATAAATCATTCAAGTGAAAGTTACAATTTTTGAAAACTGTAACCATAACAGTGAGCTTTAGAGCATCTGAGTAAAGACTTTTCTGATAAGATTGGCAGTGATATCAATGAATATAATTTCTGATATTTTATCATGAAATGTGTCAAAATTTGGAAGATCTGCATGATTTAGTAAACCAGTATTTCC